ACTTGCTGGCATACCAAACACTTCTTCACGAAATCTGCTACACTTCTCTTCATTCCATTCCACCAAAACGACTTTTTCAAGTCATGATACATCTTGGTGCTTCCGGGATGAGCTTGATAGGGTGCGCTGTGTGCTTCAGTCAAGATCTCCTTTCGCAAGGCCTCGACTTTTGGCACAACGATCCTTCCTCTAAATTCCAAGGCTCCATCTGTACCTTGGTAAAAACCTTCAACTCCTCCAGCTCGAACTTTCTCTTCTATCTTCCGAATGAATTGATCAAACGCTTGCTCCTTCTGGATTCTGTCTCTTAGTGTGGGCTGAACTTGCATAAAACTGATGCTTCCGGAAATCTCCTTGGGCAACTTCTGAACAACTTCTATCTGCAACCGAGCAAACTCTTGAACAAGTTGGTTCTGTCGAGTAATACAACAGGCCAACTCACCCTTAACCTTACGGCTTAGAGCATCTGCTACAACATTAGCTTTACCAGGATGATAATGAATGGTGCAATCATAATCCTTCACTAGCTCCAACCATCTTCTCTGGCGCATATTGAGCTCCTTCTGCGTGAATAAGTACTGCAAACTCTTGTGATCAGTGAATATCTCACACTGGCCACCATAAAGATAATGCCTCCAAATCTTGAGCGCGTGCACCACTGCTGCCAACTCTAGATCATGAGTTGGATAATTCTGCTCATGCGGCTTCAATTGTCGCGATGCAAAGGCAACAACTTGACCGTCTTGCATAAGAACACATCCAAGACCCCTTTTCGAAGCATCACTATAAATAGTGAAACCTCTAGAAGGATCAGGGATAATTAATACTGGAGTTGATGTGAGCTTCTTCTTAAGCTCCTGGAAACTCTTCTCACAATGGCTAGACCACTCGAACTTCACAGATTTTCTCGTTAAATTCGTTAAAGGGAGTGCAATTTTTGAAAACCCTTCGATAAATCTACGATAATAACCTGCTAGTCCAAGAAAACTTCGAACTTCTGATGGATTCTTCGGCACAGTCCAATTCTGAATTGCAGAAATCTTCGCTGGATCAACTTCAAGGCCCCTCTCCGTGATGATATGACCCAAAAAGGCCACCTTCTTCAACCAAAACTCACACTTAGAGAATTTGGCATATAACTTCTCCTTTCTAAGGGTACTGAGGACAACCCTTAGATGATGCTCATGCTTTGCTTGACTCTTGAAATAGACCAAAATATCATCAATAAAGACAATGACAATTTGGTCTAAATACTGGTGGAACACACGGTTCATCAAGTCCATAAACACCGCTGGTGCATTGCTTACTCCAAACGACATCACTACGAACTCGTAATGATCGTATCTTGTCCGATACGCAGTTTTAGCTACGTCGGATTCCTTAATCTTCAGTTGATGATAGCCTGAACGCAAATCTATCTTTGAAAATACGCAAGCTCCTCTCAACTGATCGAACAAATCATCTATCCTTGGGAGCGGATACTTGTTCTTGATCGTTAACCGGTTTAATTCCCTATAATCGATACACATTCTCATGGATCCGTCCTTCTTCTTGACAAACAGCACTGGTGCTCCCCATGGTGAAACACTTGGTCTGATGAAACCAAGTTTCAATAATTCTTGAATTTGAGTCTTCAACTCTTGCAACTCCTTTGGTGCCATCCGATAGGGTGCCTTCGACACTGGTGCTGCTCCTGGAACCAAATCAATAGTAAATTCCACCTGCCTGCGAGGTGGTCCTCCTG